ACTAATATATAACGTGTATGTCTCTTAAGGAAAGGAGAGATTTCTCTGACAGAATCTAACGTGTATATCTCTGAAGAGATGTAGAGAGTTTGTGTGGAAGGTGTACCAGCCCCGTCAGTGGCTGATGTAGAGAGTTTGTGTGGAAGGTGTACCAGCCCCGTCAGTGGCTGATGTAGAGAGTTTGTGTGGAAGGTGTACCAGTCCCGTCAGTGGCTGATGTAGAGAGTTTGTGTGGAAGGTGTACCAGTCCCGTCAGTGACTGATGTAGAGAGTTTGTGTGGAAGGTGTACCAGTCCCGTCAGTGGCTGATGTAGAGAGTTTGTGTGGAAGGTGTACCAGCCCCGTCAGTGGCTGATGTAGAGAGTTTGTGTGGAAGGTGTACCAGCCCCGTTATCGGCTGATATAAAGAGTTTGTGTGGAATGCGTATCTGCCCCGTTAGTGGCTGATGTAGAGAGTTTGTGTGGAAGGTGTACCAGCCCCGTCAGTGGCTGATGTAGAGAGTTTGTGTGGAAGGTGTACCAGTCCCGTCAGTGGCTGATGTAGAGAGTTTGTGTGGAAGGTGTACCAGCCCCGTCGGTGGCTGATGTAGAGAGTTTGTGTGGAATGCGTATCTGCCCCGTTGGTGGCTGATGTAGAGAGTTTGTTTGGAAGGTGTATCTGCCCCGTCGGTGGCTGATGTAGAGAGTTTGTTTGGAAGGTGTATCTGCCCCGTTGGTGGCTGATGTAGAGAGTTTGTTTGGAAGGTGTATCTGCCCCGTTGGTGGCTGATGTAGAGAGTTTGTTTGGAAGGTGTATCTGCCCCGTTGGTGGCTGATGTAGAGAGTTTGTTTGGAAGGTGTATCTGCCCCGTTGGTGGCTGATGTAGAGAGTTTGTTTGGAAGGTGTATCTGCCCCGTTGGTGGCTGATGTAGAGAGTTTGTTTGGAAGGTGTATCTGCCCCGTTGGTGGCTGATGTAGAGAGTTTGTTTGGAAGGTGTATCTGCCCCGTTGGTGGCTGATGTAGAGAGTTTGTTTGGAAGGTGTATCTGCCCCGTTGGTGGCTGATGTAGAGAGTTTGTTTGGAAGGTGTATCTGCCCCGTTGGTGGCTGATGTAGAGAGTTTGTTTGGAAGGTGTATCTGCCCCGTTGGTGGCTGATGTAGAGAGTTTGTTTGGAAGGTGTATCTGCCCCGTTAGTGGCTGATGTAGAGAGTTTGTTTGGAAGGTGTATCTGCCCCGTTGGTGGCTGATGTAAAATAAAAAGAATGTCATTAGATCGAATCATCATTGAAAGAGAAACAAGAAATTGTTTTTACTTTCTCAGTTGTTCGTAATGATTCATAGCTGTATTATCCAGCCATATTCTCGGGAATAAACCTTTTCCATTATGGCAAGAGAAAAGATGTTTTTCTTCTTTTTTTTTTGTTGATTTTCTTTGCTTCTTTATTCTTTTTCGTAAGTTATCTAGAGGTACATGGGTCATTTCTAGGGTAAAAACAATAACTTGTTGCAATAAACGTTTCAAAACATCCGAGTTCAGATTACTGAAACAAAGTGATGAGTGTATTTGTTTTTCAGGGGAATTGTAATGAATTTTATTTTTATCAGTTAAACTTGTTATCGCCGCTTTAATCCCGTACCTGTCTTCTAATCTTTAGTGGCACGCGCTGGTCTCGCGAGGGAGTTCCCATTAGTAAGTAGCCCGTACTGTTTTATGTTCGTGTTAGACCGACCGCCCGCTCGTTAGTACTCAACACAAGCTGAACACGTTAACGTATATAGACGGTAGGTATCAGAGTTCGAATTACGGAGATGTCAGATTTTTTATATTGTAGTTTTTGGAATACAGAGTAAAACCCACCAGGTCAAAAGCCAGGTCCCCAGTAAACACTAAACAAGTAAATAAATTATCTCATTTAAATTTTTTTATTTGTTTAATTTTCGCCACCTCACGTTTTCGTGCAGAGTAAACCGATGTCCATTTAAAATGTGCTAGATTAAGTAGAGAACGATGGAACAATACGGGATGTGTTAATGAAGTTCCTGTGCTTTAATTACTAGATGGATTGTCTGCGGAAAACACTTCTGCTTGTTCATCGAAAAAGAAACCCCACTGAGTCGTTAAATGAAAATCAATCGGCAACATTTCGGTGTTACATACTAGCTATCTTATCTATTTCTAAAAGAGCTGTCTTTTATTTTAAGAAACAATTGGTCGTTTGCCTGCAATAGATATTGTCGTACGCTGTACACATTTTGGTTCTCGATAACAGCATCAATGACGTCACAGAAAGCACGCGAGATAATATTTTGTTTCGGAAAAAAGATTTATAATAACACTTAAATTTACACAAATACGACTCAGATTCATCTAGTATCTAAATTAATCAAGTCAATACTGAAATGTTTCTTTGTGTAAATTAAAACATTTCTAATACGTTTACACATACGTAAAATTGGAGAGTATTTTCTGCACAGCAAAAAGTTTGTAAAACTTGCTTCCGATAAGATGATCCGGCATTATTTCAATGCAGCGGGTAGAAAACACGGTCAAAACAATATACCAGCACAGGGCAGTTATGAGATCTCTAATAATGAATTTGATAAATGTATTAAAAATATTGTTGTAATTACATAAGTCTTCCTAAACTAAAATATATTATTAGAAATTGTAACTCGGAGACCAACACTTTAAAGTTTGAGAAAAAACGCGCCTCGTTTTCAGTACTAAACCTAACCTATAAGTATGTATGTATATACGTAATTGTAAATGTATATTGTTTGCTGGATTGAGATTCAGGCCCTCAATTCAGTGTTTCTTTGAACGAGTCAAACCGTCTTATTTAACCAGATATGCCGGGAAACTATTCCAGTTTACTATTGTCAGATTTAACCAGATATGCCGGGGAACTATTCCAGTTTACTATTATCAGGTTTAACCAGATATGCCGGGAAACTATTCAAGTTTACTAGTGTCTGATTTAACCAGATATGCCGGGAAACTATTCCAGTTTACTATTATCAGATTTAACCAGATATGCCGGGAAACTATTCCAGTTTACTATTGTCAGATTTAACCAGATATGCCGGGGAACTATTCCAGTTTACTATTATCAGATTTAACCAGATATGCCGGGAAACTATTCAAGTTTACTAGTGTCTGATTTAACCAGATATGCCGGGAAACTATTCCAGTTTACTATTGTCAGATTTAACCAGATATGCCGGGAAACTATTCCAGTTTACTATTATCAGATTTAACCAGATATGCCGGGAAACTATTCCAGTTTACTATTGTCAGATTTAACCAGATATGCCGGGAAACTATTCAAGTTTACTAGTGTCAGATTTAACCAGATATGCCGGGGAACTATTCCAGTTTACTATTATCAGATTTAACCAGATATGCCGGGAAACTATTCAAGTTTACTAGTGTCAGATTTAACCAGATATGCCGGGAAACTATTCCAGTTTACTATTGTCAGATTTAACCAGATATGCCGGGGAACTATTCCAGTTTACTATTGTCAGATTTAACCAGATATACCGGGGAGATATGATATGCCGGGAAACTATTCCAGTTTACTATTGTCAGATTTAACCAGATATACCGGGGAACTATTCCAGTTTACTATTGTCAGATTTAACCAGATATGCCGGGGAACTATTCCAGTTTACAATGTTCCTGGCATAAGCTCTCACAATTTCGTCAGTTTAAATCTTTAGCATGTTTTCCTTGTTGATAAGCTTCAAAGTTTTTTTCTGTCTCTGTCGCTATTATAACCTGATCTTAACCCTAACACTGATCTAATACATATAACTTAAACCGTTCGAGTATCAACTAAGATTGCGCGTTCGCCCCCTTGACATTCTGTGTCAATTTGAACGATGATTGGTTGCTATTTCTCAGACCATCATGCGGGAGACCCGTAGCATTCTACCCTTTAGGGCAGTAGAGTTAAATATCTTGCCCAAGCGTACAGTCATGATATCACTGGACGTCACATATTGTTCTCCAGAGAAAAAAAAACAACAAAAAAACACACTAACTGCTACTAGTAGGGATTGAAGTAAGGGGTTCGACGCTTTTCTTCGACCCCAATATTTATTAATTTTGTTATTATTACGTCAAATTTTATCTATTTTCATAATGTTACGTTAAATAAAAAAAACAAAAACGAAAAAAAAAAAAAAAAACAACAACAAATAAAAAAAAAAAAAAAAACCAAAAACAAAAACAAAAACAAACAAACAAACAAACAAATACATGTACCAAAATTTTATTCCAAGCCAAAATCATCTTGCTTTCTATTATATCTATGATATGTAACAGTCCGACCTTTGTATATTACAGCAAATAATTAAACGATGTAAACAACTTCCGATCCGGAGTCAATTATCTAAGTCTAGGAAAATCAATTATCGAGCAAATGAAGATAAACACACCCCTCCTACACGAACAGTTGTGTTGTATGATTTCATATGTAACGGAATGAACAATAGAAGAGAAAAAACGATAATAGTGTAAAGTGATGTTGCGCGCGGGCTATATGTCCCATGTGCTGATACTTGAGTCTTTATTTAGACAAGAGGTGGTTCTGTCGGACTAAAGTACCCGTATCAGGTGTAGATAATTATTCTATTAACATTTGAACAACGACCCAGAAACGATAGTCTATTGTTCTGATTTGTATACCAAGTCGCTCACGGTCATCCTAACTGTACAGGGACGTGACCTTAAAAAGTGTCAAACTGAACTGTATGTCATTTTATCACAAATTCTTTCTTATGTTGTATACAGCACAAGGGACCGTACACCATACTTACAACTAGTAACAGAAGTTGTAATGAAATCATAGTCTTGAATATGTCAAAAGATGAAAATATTAGTATTATTTTGTTGACAAATAACTTAATAAGAGATTGTCTATTTATTATTTAGTCATTAAACCTGAGGAGAGAGTATGACCAGTACAATCATTGTGTTAAATCGGTTATATAAGTTGCTTTATGTATCGCTATTAAGTTCCGTGTTTGTTGTTTCTGAGTGTTGCTGTCCTGTTTGAGTCCCGTGTTTGTTGTTTCTGTGTGTTGCTGTCCTGTTTGAGTTCCGTGTTTGTCGTTTCTGTGTGTTTCTGTCCTGTTTGAGTTCCGTAATTGTTGTTTCTGTGTGTTGCTGTCCTGTTTGAGTTCCGTGTTTGTTGTTTTTGCGTGTTGCTGTCCTGTTTGAGTTCCGTGTTTGTTGTTTCTGCGTGTTGCTGACCTGTTTGAGTTCCGTAATTGTTGTTTCTGCGTGTTGCTGTCCTGTTTGAGTTCCGTGTTTGTTGTTTCTGTGTGTTGCTGTCCTGTTTGAGTTCCGTGTTTGTTGTTTCTGTGTGTTTCTGACCTGTTTGAGTTCCGTGTTTGTCGTTTCTGTGTGTTGCTGTCATGTTTGAGTTCCGTGTTTGTTGTTTCTGTGTGTTGCTGTCCTGTTTGAGTTCCGTGTTTGTTGTTTCTGTGTGTTGCTGTTCTGTTTGAGTTCCGTGTTTGTCGTTTCTGTGTGTTGCTGTCCTGTTTGAGTTCCGTGTTTGTTGTTTCTGTGTGTTGCTGTTCTGTTTGAGTTCCGTGTTTGTCGTTTCTGTGTGTTGCTGTCCTGTTTGAGTTCCGTGTTTGTTGTTTCTGCGTGTTGCTGACCTGTTTGAGTTCCGTAATTGTTGTTTCTGCGTGTTGCTGTCCTGTTTGAGTTCCGTGTTTGTTGTTTCTGTGTGTTTCTGTCCTGTTTGAGTTCCGTGTTTGTTGTTTCTGTGTGTTTCTGACCTGTTTGAGTTCCGTGTTTGTCGTTTCTGTGTGTTGCTGTCATGTTTGAGTTCCGTGTTTGTTGTTTCTGTGTGTTGCTGTCCTGTTTGAGTTCCGTGTTTGTTGTTTCTGTGTGTTGCTGTTCTGTTTGAGTTCCGTGTTTGTCGTTTCTGTGTGTTGCTGTCCTGTTTGAGTTCCGTGTTTGTTGTTTCTGTGTGTTGCTGTTCTGTTTGAGTTCCGTGTTTGTCGTTTCTGTGTGTTGCTGTCCTGTTTGAGTTCCGTGTTTGTTGTTTCTGTGTGTTTCTGTCCTGTTTGAGTTCCGTGTTTGTTGTTTCTGTGTGTTTCTGTCCTGTTTGAGTTCCGTGTTTGTTGTTTCTGTGTGTTTCTGTCCTGTTTGAGTTCCGTGTTTGTTGTTTCTGTGTGTTGCTGTCCTGTTTGAGTTCCGTGTTTGTTGTTTCTGTGTGTTGCTGTCCTGTTTGAGTTCCGTGTTTGTCGTTTCTGTGTGTTTCTGTCCTGTTTGAGTTCCGTAATTGTTGTTTCTGTGTGTTTCTGTCCTGTTTGAGTTCCGTGTTTGTTGTTTCTGTGTGTTGCTGTCCTGTTTGAGTTCCGTGTTTGTTGTTTCTGTGTGTTTCTGTCCTGTTTGAGTTCCGTGTTTGTTGTTTCTGTGTGTTTCTGTCCTGTTTGAGTTTTGTGTTTGTTGTTTCTGTGTGTTGCTGTCCTGTTTGAGTTCCGTGTTTGTTGTTTCTGTGTGTTGCTGTCCTGTTTGAGTTCCGTATTTGTTGTTTCTTTGTGTTTCTGTCCTGTTTGAGTTCCGTAATTGTTGTTTCTGTGTGTTGCTGTTCTGTTTTAGTTCCGTGTTTGTTGTTTCTGTGTGTTGCTGTCCTGTTTGAGTTCCGTGTTTGTTGTTGTATTTTTTCCATATGTTGCTGGTGCTGTTTTGTTTACACGTTTATCTGTTTGTCAATCGTATAAGACTCTTGCTCTTTTCCCTTAATGCTATAAAAACTCTATCAACAAAATATGGACACAGGAGCATGAGAACCGTGTGGTTATGTGTGAGAATATTGACACATGCGCATCAGAACCGTGTGGTTATGTGTGAGAATATTGACACATGCGCATCAGAACCGTGTGGTTATGTGTGAGAATATTAACACATGCGCATGAGAACCGTGTGGTTATGTGTTAGAATATTGACACATGCGCATCAGAACCGTGTGGTTATGTGTGAGAATACTGACACATGCGCATGAGAACCGTGTGGTTATGTGTTAGAATATTGACACATGCGCATCAGAACCGTTTGGTTATGTGTGAGAATATAAATGATTATCCACTTGACATCTGATTAAGTATGCGGACGATTTGATATCGCTGAAAACAGCTCAAAACGGCCCCGTCATCATGTTTCATTTCATTTGAAAATTGAAAATAAGAAAAAAAAAAAAAAAAAAAAAAAAACTAAACGAAATTGCATATATGATATTCAGAATGCATTTTAAGATTGGTAGATATAGAATCACTTGTATAAAAGAAATCGTTTACCTACTTCCGTTTCCGGATTATTGTGTGTAAGGGAGACGATTTCGCACCGTTACAATACGGACAAGTATACCCGGGTTGGAAAATGACTGTTTGGTTGATTTCTGCCGTAAAATCGTCAGTCTGCGTCAGAGCTTTTTTGTTTTGATGTCTGTCAAATCCTGTTTTTACATTTTCCAGTCTGAGACTTGAGAACGGGGGGATTTGCCAGTATGTTGGAGTAGAATGTGTTGATGCGAGGTATGTTATATCCTAGTTTTATCTGTGTACAGGTTATGACTTTTTATGCTGCGGAAGATGGGAACATTTTCTTCAATTTGACAACGCCTACTTTTGATTTTATCACTTCCTAAGACATTGAAATAGTGCGGAAACTGTGGATATTAATATTAAGGTACATTTGACAGTAATCCGAAAATCCTGTATGTAGCCCAGACGAGATTACCTGTAAATCAGTCTGTGGCCAAGACGCCCGTGAACCTTCATTTATCTTTCCGTAAGGTAGGACGCCCTGTCTTTTCCACACCTGTCGGGCATTCTATTTATATACATCACGTGCATTACAGTGGCAAAATGTGTTAATATTTACGATTATTGTATTGTTTATAAACATGTTGTTATCAACATGATGTGTGTATACACAGAACGCTGTGTGGGATACAGGCTCCAGGATAAAATAATACCTGTTTGCCTCCCATTGTGTGGTATGGTCATACAGACCAGTTCATTTGACACTGTAAATCAGACACGCCACCGCCAACTCAGTATTTTTAAATGCACATTATTTGAGCTTATTAGCTACACAAAGTAGTAAGGGATGTTGCATTCATGTGAACATCGCGGATTACAGTGAAATGAAAGACTACACGTCACACAACAAGACAACTGCATACAACAGGTAGCTTTTCAGGCGTTTTAGAAGACTTCTAACCCGTTAGAAATCTCTTATATTGAAAGTGATATGTAGCTCGTGTGTTTTGGAAAGGCTGAATAAAGTCGGTAGCGATGATATCGAGTAAATGTGTTATCTGTTTGATTACTTCTAAGACTCACCAGTGATGCTAGGGGTCTTAAGAGCTGGAATCTAAACTCCGACAGCAGAACAAAATTACTCGATTTGAACATTTGATTATATCTTAAGTCGTACTCTTCACCCATGATGCACAGTACACCATCATTTATGATGCTGAATAATTTAAAAAGGAAAAAAAAATTGTGTCACTATTCAAAAGTTCACGTGCGATCGCTTGTTTCCCCGGTTTTGGCAGTTATTTTTAACACTTGCCCCTAAACCCAGACACTCTTAAAGGGTTTTGCATGTTTTCTTAATAAACACATAATTTAATCTCATACAATTTTGATGTAGATTTAATTCAAACTAAGCGAAGAACCATCGGTTATAAATGATATCCAACTAAGTTAGAGTATATAATTTGTTATTAATCTGTTTTTGATAAGATATCAAATAAGTTAGTATTATCTCAATAAACCACTCGGCGAGTTCATGGTTTGAATTGCACGTAATCGTCTAACGGCACGCTAGGTTCTGATTCAGAAACCATTCTGTCTGCTCTCAAGTCCTACTCCCTTCACAATCATCCACTAACCCTACCCTCTACTTCCCGCCGTCACAATCATCCACTAACCCTACTCTCTACTTTCCGGCTCTACTTCCCGCCGTCACAAAAATCCACTAACCCTACACTCTACTTCCGGCTCTACTTCCCGCGGTCAAAAACGTCCACTAACCCTACCCTCTACTTTCCTTCTCTACTTCCCGCCGTCACAAAAATCCACTAACCCTACCCTCTACTTTCCGACTCTACTTCCCGCCGTCACAAACGTCCACTAACCCTACCATCTACTTTCCGACTCTACTTCCCGCCGTCACAAACGTCCACTAACCCTACCCTCTACTTTCCGACTCTACTTCCCGCCGTCACAAAAGTCCACTAACCCTACCCTCTACTTCACGATACTTTCCTTACTGCCTTCTGTATTTTCCGTTTTTAATATGTCGGTTTGAATAGGCTCTGTCTGACACAAAAAGTAACAAATGTTACTTCACGCTGTTTTATACGGAGTCACTGTTCCTTTAACATGTTAGAGTTGATAAAGGGTTGCTATAGATCGTGTCGTAAGGACAGAGGCCCTAACTCCGCAAAGTATCAATCTTGACCCGAGAAATAAACCGCCGTGTATTGTTCTTTACGACAGCGGTGAAGCAATTTGTATTAAAAAAATGCACACTGATGTAGATTTGATTAAAGTGGTGTCAAAAAGGTCATTTCTTTCACCCTTGTCCCTTAGGGTTCTCTCGGTCTTCTACCTGTGGTCATCATTATGTAACCAGGTCTGTATTAATTACCCCCCCCCCTCCCGCGACTCGGTCACACAGGCGTGTAATTAATTTTTTTTACTTTTGCGCTTATTTATTCTACAAGCATATGCACCTGTAATGTGTGTGTCTGAGTGTGTGTCTTGTTTAATTTATATGTGTATGTAAAAAATGCTATCAAAAATCAAACAAATGATAAAAGATATTGTATGTTATGATTGTTAGTCACGAGGCTCAGTGACAGTGGAACGGAAAGGAATTTAATCTTCCTCTAGTGAGAGATATGTCATACGAGTAGTAGATAATTATAAAAGAGTCAAATATAATACTGACCTCTCTTCAATAAGGTTCTATTTTTCAGATTAATTAATTTTGGACATCTTCCCAACAAATGAATAAATAAAATCGGAACTCCAAGTTAATTCCGAATTTATCATCTTCTTAAACTGACTTTGAGGTTACATAAATTATTTACGTTATCTTTATTGCAAAACTCGTTTTTTAAATTTGAGCACTTTAAAGGTAAATACTTTGATATACTTAAAACTTTGTCACTTTGACGTTTTTATCTGATAGTTTCACGTGTATCGGTGAATGGAATAACACCGTTCTAATAAACGTGACCACTCACATATCAAAATATCTAAAATTAATATGACATTAAAGAACGAATTGTTGAAAGTAATGATAAAATAAATTATGTGTTCCCACTGTGTCCCGATAACGCTTGTGAAATTATCAGAATGTTTACAGCTTTTAAACTCCCAGGGGAGCTTGATGTAACCTAACCCATGACGTCATAATTCCTTCCTGGTAGGCCATGTCATGGGAATATGAAGAAACGGAAATAAAACTGCGAGAGGGGATTCCATAAATCCCGGAGAGTATATGTAACACCACGAGTCGAAAGCGTAATTTGAAGTTGGCTTGATATCAGTTCATGCTGAGAAGTTTCGCCAATGTTCATTTGTATAAAAAGGAGTAAAAATATAAATCTAGAAGATATTTGAATATCACATGACCACCAACTTCCGATTTTTATTATGAAAATAGGGTATTACGTGATAGGATTCACAATGTATGTAGTATTATAATTCTGCCAGTGCGAACACGCTATTTAATGAAGTATCACGACTGATCATCTATACCCAAACTGTCACAAACAGAAAGCCTCACACTTACCAGAATACCACAAACAGAAAGCCTCACACTTACCAGAATACCACAAACAGAAAGCCTAGCACTTACCAGAATACCACAAACAGAAAGCCTAGCACTTACCAGAATACCACAAACAGAAAGCCTAGCACTTACCAGAATACCAAAAATACCACATACAGAAGCCTAGCACTTACCAGAATACCACATACAGAAGCCTAGCACTTACCAGAATACCACAAACAGAAAGCCTAGCACTTACCAGAATACCACAAACAGAAAGCCTTACACTTACCAGAATACCACAAACAGAAGCCTAGCACTTACCAGAATACCAAAAACAGAAAATCTAACACTTACCAGAATACCACAAACAGAAAGCCTAGCACTTACCAGAATACCAAAAATACCACATACAGAAGCCTAGCACTTACCAGAATACCACATACAGAAGCCTAGCACTTACAAGAATACCACAAACAGAAGCCTAGCACTTACCAGAATACCACAAACAGAGAGCCTAGCACTTACCAGAATACCACAAACAGAGAGCCTAGCACTTACCAGAATACCACATACAGAAGCCTAGCACTTACCAGAATACCACAAACAGAAGCCTAGCACTTACCAGAATACCAAAAACAGAAAATCTAACACTTACCAGAATACCACAAACAGAAAGCCTAGCACTTACCAGAATACCAAAAATACCACATACAGAAGCCTAGCACTTACCAGAATACCACAAACAGAAAGCCTTACACTTACCAGAATACCACAAACAGAAAACCTAGCACTTACCAGAATACCACAAACAGAAAGCCTAGCACTTACCAGAATACCACCAACAGAAAGCCTAGCACTTACCAGAATACCACAAAC